ACCCCTGCTTTAGACCAAACGTACCCACTCCAGTCTGAACTGAGGGCAAGATGTTGAGATGTGTAGATTGTTTGTTATGAAGTTGACTGAGACCGTTATGATGTGAAATGGAGATTAACAAAAGAGAAGAAAAAAAGTGAACTCCAGCTATTTCATTTTCATTCATTTTTCTTAAATTCAAACACTTTCTTTTAAGATGCAAGCTTTTCAAAAGTTCTCTTTTGTGTATTTTATTTTTAGATGGAGACATTATTTTACGTGAAATGAGAGAAGAACATTTATTTATGTATTATTTATAATCCATCCAGTTAAACTTGAAAACTGAGAATAATAATTGTTAAAATATAATCGATGTGTACTTTCTATATTTGATTTGACAGTTGTCGACTACACAGAGACGTTGTTGCTACTACTAGGCTTCTTGAATATACAGTATATATAAATGGCGTAAGTTAGACATTACTGTAATGTTCCGGACCTTTGCACGAGGAGATGTTCTCAATCTGGACCTGTTGGAGTTTTAATTGAATACCCCTGCAATAGATGCTCCACGTGCGCACACCGTGACCTTGATCTTTCATTGAAGAATTGGGTTTGTTTGTTTTTATATGACTACAACGACCACAGTGGGATTCCAGCTTGTTGGAGGCTTTGCAGGCATATAATTCAAACAACAATTATTTGAAACCTACTCGCATGAAAAGACAGCCGCTAACGACACTGATGAGTACCATTCAGCAGGTTGAGAGAAATTCAGCAGGAGAGAGTGCTGAAGAGGAGAAGAAGGAGAAGCTGAATACCAAATGACCGATGCACACGGAAGCTGTTCAGAGCTCCATTTCTAAATGAAACCAACTCCTCCACAAAATTAACTTTGATTTATTGTAATGAAACTGTCAGTTGCCTGTGGCAACCACTGGCTCACAAATGACTATATTCTTAATGGGCATCCAATCTGGTAAATTACGGGTGGAGAGAATGAGGGAAAAGAAAGGGAAAGGACAAGAGCACCGACACATCATACATTTCCAATAAGAACCAATTAAGTGATTTTAGGTTAGTATTCAGCTGTGATGGCTGCCTAATGTGAACTTAGTCAAAACTCTGACACTCCTTCTGCTCTTTACCATCAAGCAGCTCTCTCATTGAAAAGTCAAATTCAATTGCTAAAAGAGAATGAAAACATTCTTGCGCTAGAACAACAAAAAAGAGGCGTCACTACTCTCAACCGAAACAGTTAAATACAGACAGCGAGCTGTATGTATAATGTTAACCGTGTTCACGGTCTGAGTTTAGTGTGATAGCATGTTAGCAAAGGTTAGGAACTCAAACTTATTAGAATTCATCCCGGGAGGAACATGAACGCCTGTACCAAAATTTCATAACAATCAATGCTAGAATTGCTGAGGTATTTCAATGAAAACCAAAAATGTCCACCTACTGGTGGTACTCGAGGGAAAGTAACCACCAACGTCATCAGGATGCGTCATCTGGGAATCACGAATGTCAATCAAGCTGAGATATTTCTCTCAATAAGTGAAAACTTTGAACTGCTACGCAAGAGTAAAGGCGGAGCATCGCCATAGTCATTACCATTCTACCTGCATGCAGTGCTATATATATCTTGAACAAGTTTCATGACAATCCACCCAATAGTTGTGAGGAGATTTCAATTTGAACCGCAAAAGTTCATCCTAGAGAATGTCATGACAATCCATGCCAAAGTTTATGAGTTAATTCAGTCTGGTCTCAAGTGGCAGACGGACTGATCAACCAAAGAACGCACAGAGCCATTCCTAATGCCATGGCTGGAGAGAGATGGCAGGTGGTTTCAGTAACATGGCTATGCAGACAGAGGTCTGTGGAGGCAAACTCTTATTTAAACCTGCCAGCAGCCGGGAAAACAATGATGAGTCAATAATGGGTCAATACAACAAGTGGGCCTGCTTAAGAGGATCACTTTTAAAACTGAGGATCACTCTTGCACTGCACACAGAGACAATAGAACAGGAAAAAGAACAGCTGAAGAACAATACAAAAAATCCTTGTTAAAACAAAAAAAAAAAAACGGATATGATCAGAGCCAGCACAAAATGGCCTGCTGTCCTCTTAAATCACAGAACCAATTAGCAATCTTAGAACAATAGAATTAAAGGAGTCTGTGTGGACATTAACGGACTGCAGTGACATAGAAAGTTAATTTAGAGCACATGCAAGGCAGGGTTCATTTGTTTGTAAAGGCAAGAATGATCTAACAAGTGAAAAATAATAAAAACTGAAGGAACTTTGATTTTGAGAGATAGTGAAGACCCTGAAACTACAAAGTGATATATATATATATATATATATATATATATATATATATATGAGAGAGAGAGAAAGAGAAAGAGAAAGAGAGAGCGAAAGAGAGAGAGAGAGAGAGAGAGAGAGAGAAAGAAAGAGAGAGAAAGAGAGAGGGAGAGAGAGAGACAGAGGGACAGAGAAAGAGAGGGAGAGAGAAAGAAAGAGAGAGAGAGAGAAAGAAAGAGAGAGAAAGAAAGAGAGAGAAAGAAAGAGAGAGACAGAGAGAGAGTGAGAGAGAGAAAGAAAGAGAGAGAAAGAGAGAGACAGAAAGAAAGAGAGAGACAGAAAGAAAGAAAGAGAGAGAGAGAGAGAGAGAGAGAGAGAGAGAGAGAGAGAGAGAGAACCCGCTCTCTGAGGAAATTGCCCTCTACTCTCCATCACTGCAGGTCTGCTTCCCCCTCCTCCTCTCCTGGATGTCCGCCATTAGACACGCTCAATTGGATTCCTGTCAGATGTGCGGCCTCGCCCTGGGCCTCCTTCCTACGGGTGACTGAGCATATTGTATGTGTGTGTATGTGTATGTGTGTGTGTGTGTGCGCGTGTGTGTCCGTCTTTGTGTGTGAAAAAAGCTAAGCAGCCTTCCCTATAAAAGAAAAAGAAAACGCAGACACAAAATGACAGACGCACACAAACAAACATGCGCAGACACAGGCAGACGCACGCGCGCACGCACGCACACACACTGCAGGTAACGCGGCCACAGTTCAAGGCTCAGTTCGCTTCAGGCAGTGGTCTAGAGACGGCATGCACCTATTAGCACCGGCCTTGGCACAGCAGGGTAAAGGCGGACACAGATTTACTGTATGCCTACGTTCATTGACCTAGCCTTGGCTCCTCACAAGTTACGTCCGTGTGATGTTTCCATCTGAACAAATTGTTGACCTAACGGAGGGAAATAAATAGCTACCGAGGGAGTTTCGACCATATAATGCCAGTCTTCAGAACACTTGGCTTGTTCACCTTTCACCGGCAGAGTCATTAACTGGTATGTTTGGTCAGAACATAAACGCTACAGCAGAACTCTAGCCTGACCCGTGGAGCTAAAATGAAAAGGGTCACAGCTGCAATATGAAACGTATTTGTGCCAATAGCGCATGTCGGCATCAGACGAATGCATGGAACATATTGAGGTTTCTATCTTTTACCTCTGGGTCCGATTCATATCTGAACACACATCTGAACCGGAATGTGGCTGTTAAAGTGAGGAAATAATCACAGAAAAGAGAGGTCCTGGTATCAGAGTTTCTTCCAGCATGTGAAGACTGTGTAGATACTGAGGTTACTTTAGTCTCAGGTTAGATGCCACGTACAGTAGCCAGCATATCAGGATAGGTGGCAGCTAGAAGTGCTAGGATGTGAATTTGATCTTAAAAGGGAAGAGGGCAGTGCTAATTAAATATTATTGCACGTGTAACTTTAAGTGAAGGTGCTAATGTGAAAGCTGGACACTGTTAATGGGGTGTGACCGTGTTAGCAGTCGGCTTAAACATGGGTCCCAGATCAGACAGGGATGTTCTTCAAGATATTCACAAACTGTACACACTATATGTACTTGTAATGCTTCACAAATCGTATTTTGATCAGGTTTCTACCAATAACGCATATCTGGAAAGCCTAAAGAAAATCTTCTCAGGAGTGATGGTCGTTAGTTTAGCGGTTGGGCATCTAAAAGGTTTACAAGAACACCATTGCTGTGTATCTCAATAATGAGGCAGACGGGCACACCTGTTTAAAAACGGTCAGACTTGTACATTGTGTACAGTACACATGAAATGTCTACATCAGATGCAAAATACACAAGTGTATCGACAAAGCTTTGGAGTACAAGAAAATCGAAGGCATAACTAATGACTGTGCAGGGAAAAAAAGGCAAAGAGGTGTGAAATCCATCTGTGCGTGTGAGGTAGATGTTAAGTTGAGGGTAGGGCAGGGACTTTAGTAGGCTAATTAGCTACTATTATCTGTCGCACCCAGTGGCCTGTGCCACTAATCCTGCTGATTAAACACAGTGGGTCTTCCACAGCAGCGCCGCACTGATAAGGCCACAGAGCTCAGCGATGACATAAATGTCGGGGTGAGGCTGGACTACACAGGACTGCCACTGTTCTGCCTTGCTTAATACCACAGGACGTTGATGTGAGGTTGGCAAAAAGAGAAGTTGAGGTTCTGTCTTGATGCGGCCGGAAAAATAAAAAAGGAGTGAAAGTTTGAAAACCGACTTGATAATGCCGTTTGAGGTTTGCCGACGTCAGCGCTGTTCATGAATACAGATGCAGTGAAGCAGGCTTATATTTTCACAGGATAAATATACACCGGAAAACTCAAAATAATTGTTAATTATGCCTTATATAAAGGCTTAATGGAACACCACATGAATTGGCACTCGAAGACCTTTCAGTTGAACAGCTGTAGTTGCTTAATGTATCTACAGTATGTGTCACAATTTCAGTAAACACACCTCTGCAACATGTGATTAAAAGGTGCAGAAATGATCCTTCTATTTTTATGTCAAAATGTAATCGAATACCTCCTGCAATGCAAAACATATCGAGGCACTGCCAATCCCACTGGGAACCAACTCAAACAAGCCTCGGCCACCGAATGTCAATCAAATGTCAACCTTCACAGTGACGGGTTAGACGGTGCGGTATACTCACGGCGAACATGGCACGGAAGTTGCTGAGATCGGTGAACAGCTCCTCCACAGAGGTCTTCTTGGGATCAACGGCAAAGTACTCGAGCATGTTGTGATACAGCGTCTCCATGTTGCTGTGCATTATCACCAGCTTGCCGTACTGCTCCCTGGCAACCTTGCTGAAGCTGTGAGGGCCATTGTCAAGGTCTCTGACACATCGATCACACGACAGGTGTTAATTACATGCACTAAGTATACCTCTCCCATATCTGACAGCAGGACAGGAAGTGTGAAAAAAAACGTGAATGCATTCACATTATTCGCCGTAAGGATTTGAGGCTGGAAAACAGATCGTCAGTGATGAACTGTGTTGTTGGCCTTAGGAGCTCAGAGACTGTCAGTCAGGTTACTACTACAGCGAGTTCACTGCTCTGACCCCTGTGCAGCCTACAGCATCTGTGACTCATGGTTGGCTGCCGGCAATGTGAGTTGGTTAATTTGACATGCAAAATATTAAATGTAAATATATTAACAGAAATCCCCAAAAACAGATATGAAAACATTCCACTCTGGAAAAAAAAAAAAAGAAAAAAAAAGGAGACCAGATTTTACTGCACTCAAGGTTCGAACTGTTTTAACTTCAACGCTCTCTGCCACTGCTATTTCAAAGCCCATCCAATCAGATCACAATTCACTGAAAAGCTTTCATCATTTATCTTTTTGCACTTATTTCACAGTCAATGTAAACGCGGCAGAAAATGAAGTATATGTGTCACTGGCTCTGAAGTTTGTGTATGCTTCTTCGGCAGACTAACCCCTGAAAATTTGCTTTTTTTTTCTCCCCACTGTGTGGAGCAATTACATGTCCTTGCACCTCAAATTATCCCAAGAATAGTGTCAAGACCTGGTCCTCACAGACATGGATATATCCTACCACACACACACACACACACACAGATCAACTGTAGCAAAAAATAACTCATTTTAAGACTGATAGTCGACTGACGAGCATGGCAGGGCATCAAAAGGTCCTCCTGGGTAAACCTGGGAAAGCGAAGGGCAGCTCTGCTATGTTGGTACATGTGTGGATGAGGACACAGAGGTTACGGTTGTGTCAACATACGCCGGAGAGGTGTCGGTGTCGGAGCAAAGAGAGTGGGAACTGGAGAGCACTAATACACATCCTGCCTACAAGCAGGGCATGTTAAGACACACACACACACACACACACACACACACACACACAATAATTGCTCTATAGCGCGCATTGGGTTTGCTCTTCAAAAAATAACTTCATACATATATATTATTAGTTATTTTGGGTTTTATTTTCTAAAAGCCTACCCAGAGCTTTTCCCATAGTGATCCTGTTTAATAAAAAGCAAAGCATTTGATGCATGACAGAATAAAATCTGGGTTGGAATCAGTTTGAATCTGCTTCTTTTAAAAAGTCTGGCTAACTTTCTGTACAAATCTATGAAAAAAGAAAAAGTCTCCTTCACCAACAGTCTTCCTAATGACCCCAACAACCTTGTCTCATGGCAGATAAGAAGCAAAAGTGTCTCTCTGTGTGTGTGGTATCACAATTATGTAGGCAGCCTCTCTGGCTCCTATTGTGCCCCTTCATTACGGCTCAATTGATGGACCTATTTGACGTCTGGCCTCAGTTGAATCTGGCTGTGGCTGGGACTACCTATTCACAGCTGGGTAAATGCTGCTCAATAGGCACCGCTCCAAGATTGACTTGTCAGTAATATCCTTCCAAGCCAGGAGCTGCTGGAAAGAGGCACGAGGAAAGCCTGAGCAGGCGATGGAAAGCCAGAGAGGGAGAGAAGAATAAATAGCCGAGAGCCGTGGTTGATAAGTATCGTGGGGCGGAGAATATTTCTCCTCCTCCTGTTCCCGCTCTCCTAAAGTCGTCCCCTATTCCAGAGGAATCAGTGGTCCACTGCAGCTCATTCTCCAGAATTTCTGTTCAATCTTGCTTTCTTGCTGATCCTTTTCCCCCCTCCATCTATTCCATCATACTTTCCTCTCCCATTCTTCATTTGCTCATTCTCCTATTTTTTTTTTACCTCTCCTGTTCTCATATGCCACCTTCCCAAGCTCAGCTCAGAAGAGCAACACTTGACCAGTACCACTAACTGTATACTCAAGTGGACGCATTAAGTGATAATGGGATTTTCAATGTCACAAATGTGACACACCGGGTTTTCTCACGTTTAGCTGGGGACTATAGATTTTGTTTGTTGGAATAATGACCGTCGCCAGCATACTTCAGCTGCAGGTGAAGCCGTATCATCTTTAAAGATGCTTCTTCAGGATGAGCAGTGGAACTTCAAGAATAAAAGAGCTAATCTCTTTGCCTTTGATCTAGTACTTTTGGATATCTTATGACCTGCATGGCTGGAAATCTTCAAAGATTTGACTGGGTAATGCTCGGTATTCTCTAATGTGGGATGATAGGAAAAGGGTTCACTTTAAAGAACTTGATTATCCAAACACGGCTTGCCAAAATTGAATAGCAGACACAGTTAAAGGTGAATAAAGTAATCGGGTTCATGATGAGAGTTTGAAACATTGCTGTTTTGTTTTTTATAAAAAGCATTCAGTGCAACAAACTAATTACAAATGAAACTGTAAAATTATATACAATGCTTGTAATGAAATAAAAATACTTAAGGGAATAATATAATCAAGTTAATTCAAGGGTGCACCTATGTTGCTTTAAGGACTTTCCAGGTTGTAGGTGCAGGAAGTGAATATTATCAAGGCTACCAATAAAACTGTATTGGTTCTGCTGTCAACAAAAGTTGACGACAGGTTTCCGTTTAATGCGTGGGGGGGGGGGGAATTCAAGTTCCAAAAATATGAGCTCGGCATCGAGTGTGAGGTTCTCATATGGATGGCCTTGGGGTGAATATGACATCTGAGCAGCCTAAGCTGCTACATTTGGATCAAACATAAGACCTGGTGAGCGTGTGCGTGGAGCAGACATTTGGTCTCTATGGCTTAAAATTAGAGCCTCGACGCTCAAGTGTTTTCATTAGAGGCTCACCGTTAGATTCCTGATTTTACTTTCACATTCAATGGAGTTTTTGATCAGAGTTGCTAAAATGAGACTTTTTTTTTTTTGCACGGCACCTAGAATAGCAAATCAAGGTTGTGAAAGACAGAGCTGTCAAATCCATTCTCAGTGAACTTTTCCGTGTTGCACTCAAGTTCTCTCCCAACTACTGCAGCACAAGCCATCAGTGCCTCAGCCCCAAGGCTATCGATCAAAACTACATGAAGGAGGCTCGGTACAGGGTGTATTATTGAACACACCTGGTCTGAGATGCGGCTGTCAACATGATCCACTGGAACTACCTCGACGTACAGTGAATAATTAACACTGCTGCCAGACAGATATGGACAGCCGTCAACAAGTGGAGCTGAAGAGGGCAGAGAAACAATAAAAGGAACTTGCATATTTATGTGTTTTAGTAAATCACTGCTTTTGTTTAATTATCATAAACTGACAATTGAATCTAATTAAACTTGTCTCCAGGAACAAACAGCACTGACGTTGTGAAAGGGAAAGAGAGTGACAGAAAGACGTAGGAGGCACTGTCCTGATTCTCCCTCTCCTCCTCTTCATTGTGAGGTTGCCGTCAGTGTAAAGTATCCTTCAAAGAAGAGAGCTGAGAGGGGTACTGGTACTAAAACCTGATTATGGAACGGGACGCCACTCATGACTGGTACATATCATCGACTGTAGAAAAAATATTTGAGTGTATATAGGACTGAGGGTGGGAGGACTGTCCTTGTCTCCCATTTCTTTTGCGTTTCAGCAGCATATTTTAGTCGGGGGATCAAAATGAGTTTTCCGTAAAAAAAGAGATGAACATTTTCATTTGGGGGAAGAGGGGTAGAGTCACTTTTAAAAAGTTTAGTACAAAATGTCTTGGAGGGAATCCAGTTTGAAGGTGACGGCAACTAAAGGAACACAGCCTGAGAATTTCATGATGTAAAAGGTAAAGGTAATGTGTTCAACTGAGCCAAAGACTTCAGAGCTCTTTCCCTCATACCACTCGTTTAGTTTTGAGCTGTGGATGTATTTTCTTTTTAATTATTCATATGCATCAAATTGTAATAAATACGACCTTTAACACATGAAAACTTGCCCTGCAGCCGATGCAGCAGCACAGTGTTAAATTAAAACATACCAGTTAGGGGCATTATTGAAAAACGTGCGAGTGAACGCACGCGTGTGCAAAGGATATAGCCATTTTAGTGAAGAACATGTCGTTGGGGTCATCGGGGGAGGAGAAAGTCTCCAGGTCTCTCTCCAGCTGCAGCAGCTGCCTCTCCATCTGCCTGAGGTTCTTTTCCAGATTCTCTGCAGACACTGACGCACGCCCACATACATCAACACACACACACACACACACACACACACACACACACACACACACACAGAAACACACCCACGTGCCAAGGAAATGTGAAGAAAAAAAGCAGAGAGAGTGCAACTTAATTACAGGTACAATCAAATGCATTACTATTCTGAGGCTCTAAAGGGAAAACAACGTACACAAAAGAAAAACAAGGAAAAAAAAGAGCGAGGCGCCGGCTCAGTAGCAAAGCATGGTTGTTGTGAGTTCACACTGTGCCAGGAACACCATGGGAATAAACAATGACTGAGGAAAAAAGTGAAGGCACATTCAATACACTGCTTTTTATTATTCCGTTTGCCTCTTATATGCTCATGGGTACATCGCAAACAATTAAATCCATACCAGAATGCAATGTAGTGAATGTAAATGCCCGTTATTTTCAGTAACACAAATGGACCGCCCTTCGTCCTTTGTCTTTAGTCCTGTCAACAGGTGCATGGATCATGCAGGTGGGAGAGCAGGGGAACACTGGGCCTAACTTTCTGTTAAGTTGGTCACGGCTGACACTTTAAGCTAGTCACTGAATATAGCATATGGCTTAAATTACCCTGATTAGACCCTGCTTGACAAAAAGGCATAAGCTGCTTATTTTTAAGTAGTTTCAAATGTCCCTTGATCCTAATACATGCTTTACGAAAAAAGGAGGGGAAAAAAGGAGAGAGAGAGAACTTCAACGTAGCTAAGCTTCTCACTGAATTCATAGGCATAAAACCCATTTACTGATGGGGAACAAACTGCCTTGGATTCACAAACACACAAATATTTGTATTAAATGAGTGTGCAGCAGCTGAAACTGTAGGCTCTCTCTTTGAGAAAAAGGAATGGAGTCTGAGTCTTGTAACAGCCGGTGAGGGTGAGCACTTCAATGTACATAGAGCACAGTCACTCCGCTGGCTGAGAGGAAATGGCAGGTAGCACTTTCCATCAACTCATGATTGAGAGAGAAGACCAAACCCACTGCACTAACAAAGACTTGCTCATATAGCAATCACCATAGTCTGTACCTGAAAAATACTGACGTTAGTCCTTTCTACTCATTGTATGCTTTACTTTGTCCTCAAAGTCCTATTTTTAAGTTTCACGTTTTTCTGCTTCTCAGCCCCGGCAGTAATAGCAAAAGAAAAATCAGTTGAAGGCACTGGAAATGTCTCAGCACACCGTTCCTTTAAAAATCTTGCCAGAGAGGACATCATGAGTGGCCAATGATGTCTCAATCCAGGCAGTATTCACAGACTGGTTACATGTGTGTGCTATTAAGAAATCACTCCGCCAATCTGGACGGGCAACAGGAACCTGTTTAAGTGGGCGTGTATTTTAGGAACAATGAAAGCAAAAGAGTTATCTTTTGGCTCATTACTGCCTTCTGGAAGCATAAAAGTGAGTCTAAAACCAACATTAAAGTCTGTGGTGTCAGGCATACACTTGAAGGTGCAACGTAGCCACCTGCTCCAAAGACTTGAAGGTTGCAATTCATCTCTACTGGATCCATACAGTATATATGCAGACTACTAACAGCAGGGCAAGAACAGTCACGATCCGCATATATGCTACACTCACACTTGTCTCTGGTTTTTATTTGTGAAAGCCTTTTGCATTACCAAGCAACCAAAATCTGCTGAATGAGGTGTGGGCAGCGTGCAGAAGTGTGAGGAGGCCAGACGGGCAGTCTGTTAATAGAAATGATTAGAGCCCAGTGTTAATGACTGAGAAAAGAGCAAGGGAAGGCGAGACAGAGAACTCAACAGAGAGAGATCTCCTCTTCTTGGCTTCTCAATCCAAGTCGCAAGCTTTTTGTTTAATGAGGCTCCCCCTATGTTGAATACACTTATCGTAAGTCGCTTTGGATAAAAGCGTCTGCTAAATGACAGTAATGTAATGTAATGGAGTAAAACATCTATTTTCTATTTTTTTTTAATGAGTAAACAGTCAGGTTTGTCACAGTCATTTGGAACTGATTGGTGTTCTCTGTATTGAGGGCTTTTCTTTCTTTATTTTCTTTTTATGTGGGCTTTGCAGTGTCCAAGTGCTAGGCACGTATTCAGTTCTGTTACGGGATATTGCTAAAGGGGTAATAGATTATTTGTATCTCGCCAGTGAGAGTTAGTCTGAGAGGCAAGACTAATTTTATTTAATTTATATTCTCCTTTTGTATTGAATGTGGTTCTCTGAGGAAAAGCCCATATTATACTGTTAAACAGAGACATTTTCTTTTATTTATATTGTTTCGTTAGGATAATAGAATACATCTATTCCGACAACTGTTGGGTTTGGGGTGTTATTGCACATTCATTACTGAATCGTGCTGAGGGGAGCCGGGACCAGATCCATGGTCCCACTACTCCAGAGTTACAGCTCTACCTGTTACACAGGTGACAACATGCTTCAGGTGAAAATCTGCCTGGGACTGATCAGGAGTGTAACAGCTGGAATGTTTTGTTTAACACACAGAAATGTGTTTGAAAACAGATGTGTCAGTGTAAACACACATCTGTCACGGACAACTTAGGAATTGCGAAAAAAAATTTCTCTGTGGCACGGTGACAAGCAGAGCTGGAGACAAAACATGAAAGGGTGGTTCCAGGTCTTCTTTGTTCCGTCTGGCCACCCGGCTCCTGCCTTCTCTCTCTGCGTGTTAAAGCATGACTGATGGTATTAGCAGTGGGGCCTGAATGCCTCTGTGGTCTGGAGGGGTTGCAGACAGATGTTCTAGAAGAAGAAGAATTGGAATATTTGTAGAGGTCAAATCCCCCCCCCCCATTGACATCCTTTTATCACCCTGCCAACCTGCTGTGCTATAAAGGAGACCGAGTGGAGCACACAACCGTGCTCGGAAACAGTACCGTCACACGCGGAGCTCCACTATGCATCATCCTCTGATGTATGGAAATTAAGAGACTGGAAAAAGAAATGCAGATCTGCCTCCTGAGGCCAAAGCCTGTCAAGTGTGACTAGACTGATGGTGCCAGAGGCTGGGAACTGGGGGCTCGTAATGCAAGAAATCCCGGCGCGCACTCTCCCCGTGCTGAGCGCCTACTACAGTACGCACATACTAAAAGAGCATGAAGGTCACCGAATTGCAAGTTGCAGTGCGCTTTCAACCCGAGGCTCATCACTCAGGCCACATGTGGCAAAACGGAGCTCGAGCCGCATATTAAAGCAACACCTCAATATCCTTGAATCCTCCGTGATGACTCCTCGGGACCACCAGCCTCGAAACAGAAGCTGAACCTAAATAGCTCTCCCGTGTTGGTGAAGCAAAATGTATGCAGACAGGTCTGTTTAGCATTGCGCGTAGCTTTCCAAGTCAATTCTCCTGCCGAGAGGTAATATTTAAAAGATCTACGAGCTGCAGAGTAGCCTGATTGAGCACGTTAATATGTCTCCGTGTTTGTCTGATTTCGAAATCAAGCTCAGCACCGAGCACCGGTGCAAACAAAACGCCCTAATTGCCCAAACCTTGACTGCTGTGCGTCGCACGTGTGTGTGTGCGCGCGCGCGCGCGCGCGTGTTGCAAAGGAAATACACTGAAAAAAAAGACTTTTTGGCCCTGTAATTATTACCTCGATTATTTTTGTAAATTTTACAAGAAAGTATCATTCCAGTGCTTTTACTTTAAAATATCACCTTTTATTTAATGTGTTACTTGGTGTTTGTTTGTAATTATGTATCCTCATTTGTATAAGTACATTTTAATCATTCATACTAAGTAATATCTACTAAACTACTGTATTGAATGCACTACCTGACACAACAAAGTAAAAATGTACTTGGGTAATACGAGTGAAACCTGGCAACCTATAGCGCGTACTCAGGGGGTGACGTCAGAGGAGATTTCGCGCTCCTTTCTTCAACGAGACGACGGAACATCAGAACCTGAACAAGGACGGCAGCGTTTCACCTGAGGAGAGGAACTTCATGGACGGGAGCCATTGGGGTAGGTTATATGTTTAATTAATGCTCTACGTTGCTGTTGAGCCTTCGGTCAAGTCTGTGTTTGAGTTGTGAACACTGAAGAGTAGCGAACTGGTCAGTTTAGCGTGCTAGCTAGTTAGGCTATCGTGCTAGCTAACTTGTGACAGCATTACAGACATGGCTCACGGCGCTACATTTTGTGGACATGTTTTTGGTGGTTTTGGTCACGATTTTACAGGGTTCTCCCTTGAAATGTTGTTGGCCTGGGGACACGGTGCTCGACCAGCTGCGCTCCGTCGACGAGGGGGAGGGGGAATTACTTCGGTTTTGTGAAGCCCACTTCTGCCACACAGGTGCTTTGCTGTGCTGAGTCACACGCACAGCGCGCTTTCTCTCGGACATCCTCAAGTGCAGCCGAGGTCGAATGAGGAAAATGTGACAAGACAGGGAATCATAGCTAAGCAGCAACAAGCACACTGGTCATGTGCTAAAAAATATCCCATACGTGGTGGAATTAGTGACTTTAGAGCGAGTCTAATACACTTAACATTATTTTGTCACTATCATATTCTGACATATTTTTTACAGTAACTTATATTTCTGTAATTAGTTTTAAACTTGTCTCTTATGTCTCTATCCAATGTGGTGTCCTTGATGATTAAGGCTTTGGGCATGGAACAAGGTGCCAGTACTGTGTTGAGTTAGTGTCGCATATCAACATGACCAGGCCTGCTGTGTATCTCAGTATTAACGTTATGTTGGCTTGTTTCTGTGCTGTTTTTCTGTGTGGGGATAAAACATGCTATCACTATGAAGATTTAAGCCAAATTCAGATTTAATGTTGTGTTCATGTTTTAACAATTTCTTTATATATTTCACAGAATATTAAAGGACGTTCACTCTCAGCAAGTTGACATCAACAGTTGACACAAGGTAAAATCAACTTAGTACTGTACTGTTATAGTTTAATTTACTTGACATATACATTTTAAGTCATAGTTTGTGTTGCTGTCAATAGTACATTATACTGGGAGGACTACTGCATTAATTGTTTTAGCAAGGTACCTCATCTTGATCATGTTTGTTATTGTCTTTTGTTTCAGATCAATGAGGAGTTCAGAAGAATAACCACAGTTCATCTGGAGCGAAACTTTTTGTCGAAATTGGACAATTGCACTACCAACTTTCTGGAGATACTTGGGACAAAGGGCGGAGTTGCAGGAACAAAGACCCATGCTGGAATCACCCAGCCTGGTAAAGTTTAGATATCTAATATTATATAAAATTATGTTGGGCTCATATACACTGAGAATAGATGCATGACAACGCATTTTAAACACATTCAATATTTTTGTTTGTTTCCCCCACTATTGTCATTTTTTGAGAACACATCAGACTTGAAGATGTAAAAGTGAACATTAGTAAATTTGAATTTCAAAGAAGTCATTGAAGAGGACTATGCTCAACATGTCATGAAGATCCTTGTCATCCATGGAAATGCAACACAGAAAGGCTTCACTCCTGACAATCGTGTTCGTCGTCAGAGGGAAAAGAGGTTCTTGATGACTGTCAAAGTGTGGCAAAGGCTTGCCTTCTGCTCATGGCTATATCTATGTGTATCTAAGTGTTGTCAAGCAATACCCATCGTTTCAAATTAAAGTCGTTTGTTAAATGACTAAACGTTTGTGTTCTTAAATTTCTTATTGGCAGCACTGATTTAGAAATGTTTTGTCTGGCAATGCCAACCAGGTTATATACAGTATGTTGGTATTGGTGTGTGTCTGTCAGCAGTGACCTCTTTCACCAGTTAACAAGTAAAGCTGCTGTAGTTTAAAAGATGTTTTGTAGAAGCCTTATGTTAAGACAATTTTGTTAAATTAACAGTAGCCCAGTTTAAAAAAACTGCAACATTCATATTTGAACAGTTGTGTAGAGTAGTAGTAGATAAAAGATATATTGTGTAAATATTACTTAATATTTCTCAATTGACAAAGTAAAGAAAAGCTAGTTAAATATACATGAAACACCTAATTGAGTTTTACTGGGCTTTTGTAATTAGATGCAAAGGTAGCCTGAGTAAAGATGACTATCAAAGGCTAAGTACATTTTATGTCTAAGGAAGACATTTGCAAGTAAAAGTTACTTGCAAATTTTGGATAAAAAACAATTCTTGCTAGTAAGTAAACTTAACTTGAGAATTCCTGAGTGCAAATTGTTACCTAGCTTTTTTTTCAAGTAAATGTCACTTTTTCTTTTTTTTTTTCAGTGTAGGAACAGAAAACGGGGAAGAAGATTGAGAGACCAAAAAAAACAGACGCATAAGAGAAGAAATGCAGACGGATCGAGACAGAGAGCTATTGACAGACAAACAGAAACATAGAACATGAGAGGGAGAAGCAGCACACAAGGGATGCTTCCCCATGTCAGGGGAAATAATGACTGTAGTGCTGAAAAGAAGAGAGGGGCAGACAGACACAAAGGGGACCCTGAACTAAGATGCAGTTTTGCTTCCATGAGAGACGTGACTGACAAAGGGGGGGAAACGAAGGCAGCGTTACACACAGACACAGTCAAAAGACGGCGGCTTTTTGCAAACTAGAAGCGCAAATCATTACTGCTGCCTCTATCCAAACCGTGTTCCGTGCTCAAGTAAGCTCTTTGGTATGCGTCTATGAATGTAACACAGCCTTTTAGTGTGTCTCCAGGCCTCCCGAACGGCTGTCAGGCCTGATGAAATAGAAGCCACTCAAGAGCATGGTTTGCAAAAAAAACGAAATGCAATTTGTGTGTCTGAATACTAGATACGGGGAGATGAGACACTTGGGGCATGCCTCTCATAATGGTACCGACACGTGGAGAGAAAGACAGCGACGGGGGAAAGAACACATCTCTATGGATGCAAATATATGCTGGGCTCGAGGCCCACGAGGTGAGGAGGTGGACAAAGCTTGAAGAGAGATCCAAGGACTGTGCTTTCCATTGATCTCGCCCTTGTGCTTATGAGTCTCGGCCAAGGGCTTGTAGCCACGTAGCACAGTCGGAGAAAAAAAAAAAAATGAAACACTCAACAGGAGCATCGTTATCCGCAGATCACTAAAGCCCGGACAAAACCCGGAGGGGTCCTTACGAGCAAGAGTCCAAACAATGAAGTCACACATTTCATCCTTACTCTGTTTTCTCCTCCTCACCCCTTTCCCGTCCTGCTGCGAGTGGAGCAGTGGGTAAAATCGCCTTTCGAGCAACAAGACGCATGCTGTGACAGTTACACTTATAGTAAGGCCGCACTTATAGTTACACACACACACACACACACAGTCCACAGACTAGCACTCAATACTGAACAAAGAGCATGGCCGAGTCTCCTCTGACCGCCCAGTCTGTCCCTGCTTCCCTGTGACCTTTACCATACTCTGGATACACCGGACAAAACTCACAGCAGCGTGTCATCGTTTTTGTGTGTGTGCACCCCCACGCGTTAAATCGAAAAAGATCGATTTGCGTCAAGGCAACACGGGATCTTAAACTACATTCAAACAGGCAATTGCTCTTCATCTGAGCAGTCGGCGCAACCTGAAGTATTCTCTTGAAAAATGAAGCCATAACTCTTGTAAACGTGCTACAGCAGAAAGATTAATGAGAGTATCAAACAGCCGTGCAGATGAGCAGAGTGTAGCATAGATCAAACGCTAAACTGGGAAAGTACAATGCATGTTTACAGAATCAACAAGCATCTAATCCCAGAATAATCCCCAGGGAGGCACAGAAGTAGAAAGGTAAGGGTAAAGCTCAGAGTAGAACAACGGGATAGAGAAGAAGGATGCTCCATTTCTGTCTGGGAAACACTGACTGTTTGTGCATTAAGCTCTGTGAACCACATCTCTGATAACTGCTCAAATACTGTCACAACAAGCAAATATGAAAAACAAATTCTAATTGTTTAAAATTTGTGTTACTAGAACATAATGTTTTCTCCTCGTCATGCTGGACGTTAATACTGCGCAGTAAGCTTGAGCCCAGTCTCTCAGGTAAACCTCAAGGGGTTATAGTTAACTGGTTTGATAAGACGCAATGTTAACATGTGATATGTCAGTAGTTTGTTTAACTGGACAGCCCACACAGCTCATTATTTTTTCATTAGGCTCACCTTTCCCATCCTTAAACACTGCAATTGTCCACACCATCACTATTGTTCAATGGCAGGCGATACCGCTGAATGGCCGCCATCAAACGAGAAGCCCAAGCGTCCTTTCTAAATATCTAAAATATTATTCAGTTTTTAACAGCATGCTGGCGGTTGCCTAAACAACATGTTGTGGGGCGACTGTGGCTAAGGGGATAGCAGGGCCGCCTTTCAATCAGAGGGTCGGTGGTTTAATCCCCGGCTCCGGCTCTGCTAGTCGCATGTCGATGTGTCCTTGAGCAAGACGCTTAACCCCAAAATTGCTCCCGTAGTTGTGTCTACGGTGTAGAAATGTGATAGACTGAATTGTAAGTCGCTTTGGATAAAAGCATCTGCTAAATGACTGTAATGTAATGTTGAACAGAAGACGACATAAGCGACAGGCTTCTCATTTCATTTAAAAAACAAAACAGAGAGGGAAAAAGTGTCTCGTTTGTATGTTTATTGTTTGCTCATTATTACTTTATTACTAATTTAGCCTTTATAAGACAAAACATCGCCAGGGATGTTGATTTGACAGGCAGTGGATACAAGTCCAGTGCCGGTCCGGTGCGTATGGGTAATAATCAACATTACCTCTGCTAGATCGGTCCACGTGCTCCAGGTCTTCAACAAACTTGATCACATCTGGAAATTCCTCCTCACATACTTGCGCCAGGAAATGGAGCAACGTGGTCTTTTGGTCCGCTGACTTAGTGTCCTTTAGCTATCGTAAAAGACACACACACACACACACACACACACACACACACACACACACACACAACGTTACACACGAAGACCTATGGTAGTAAAAAGATGCATTTCATTTCAGTTCCTTCAGTCTTACGTCATTTGCCGATAGATTCTAAAGACCGGGCAATAAAAAGAAAGCTCTGATTGGGGACAGGCTAATTGCATATTTGGCACTACGTAGTACCTTGGACTTCCTTGTCATTCAAAATGTCCCAGGCTAACCCGTAACCGTACAGGTAGAGGAGGGGTGTGTCGTGTCTGGGTTTGATCGACGGCAGCTGGCAGGCTGCCAGAGCGCCGGTGGGAACAAGAGACCAAGTAAACAACGCAGACGGCGTGTTGATGTTGGTATTGAAGAGCAAGGACTCTACCGGCCTCTACCTGGACCGAAGTGACATTTGCAGGTACGTTTTCACGCAGTTTAATGTGCTGCAGCTGAGCGGTCAGATAGATATAGATGTGCAGTAGATAGATCAGATAAGGTAGGAGACTGTCAAAGGAAAGCTAATGTGGATTGCTACTCAAAGTTTGTGGCTCTTGTGCTGTGCAGCATGCTGCTGTCAAGCTCAGTGTAACCTTCTGCTCTGCCCATTAAAGAACACTGACATCACTGCTTTATGCAAGATTTCATTGGCTGTGTCGAAATTAGGTCGCTGTCAAATTAATGCAAAACTAGGGGCGCAATCATGAAAGCAAAAAATATATTTGATTTCAGATTTTTTTTTTACACTAAAAGGAGTACATGGGACAAGTGATTTACTACATCTATGCTGTAGCAGACGGGGTACAAACAAGTAATCAAGAAACAAGCTATGTTGTGTTCTATAACCGTATCTACAGGATGTTATGTGTGCTTCATTCAGTATTGTCGGTAGCTCTATGCTTGTCGACAGTGCTACATATGATTTCACGTCTTGTACTCATGCAGCAGACTCATGTTCACAATGTGATGACCCCTCCTGTGCTTTGTGTCCATCTCTCTCTCTCTCTCTCTCTCTCTCTACCACACGCAACAATATTTCACTTTCCCTGATAAATTTCAATCATCACTCCTTTTACAGTCTAATTCCAAGATGTCTTTCAGTATCCCCGCCAAACATCCCTCCCGTGGAGTGCGTTGCTGTATCTCTCTAGGTGATCTATTGGTAGACAGCAGCGTACTCAGCCCTGCTGGGTTTAATCATGTTTGTATTATCTCCTCTAATCAAACATTCTCATCTCCCTTTTCATTTCTGTTTTGCCAATTTTTATTTTTATCAAAAGCTTCAAGTGCTCACTCACAAAAGGTCCCTCTCTGAATTTAGACGGATGGTAATCATTGTTGACAATGTCAACATTTAGCTTTTTCCCAGTTGGTCTGGATGCAATTTCCCCGTGCCGTTGAGTGTGCCATGGAATTAAGTTGTCAAACTCTGGGGCAGGCACAAAGGTGATGTCTTCCTCCGTATATCCTGCCTCCGACATCGACGTACGCCTCGGTCGCGCAACGCACCGGCATGAAGATAAGCAAATAGACATGCGGCGTTACAAATGTGATGAACGCAAAACATATTCCTTCATAGACTTAAATTAATTGACAAATGATGACGCTAATGAAAACCAATCCATCATAGAACGTGTGAAATCCATGTTTGTGTACGCACATGCGCTGGTGTTCATATGAGAATAAGCTCCCCGAGTCTAACAGGGCAGAGGGGTGGCAGTGATGAATGGCTGCGGTGGTTGTTACTGTGGAAACTGCAGTGAGTGTGCCAGCAGCTGTAATGTAACCACTGGATGAGCCTCTACACTTCAGGATTACACTCTGCTCACAGCACCACTATCAAACAGGGAAGCTCACTGTTCTGTCCTCGTGCCATTTAAAATCAAAAAGGTGTAGCTATTTGCTACGTCGCTGACCCACAGAGCACGGGTAGTCCTGCCGGGTGCAAAGACTTTCAAAGGGATGCTGGCCGTTGCCTCGGTTATCTATTCAGAGCAGGAGAATGAGAATGAAGAACCCCCCGGGTTCTGCTGCTTTGATAGATGCCAGCCGATAGAGAGGAAAAGGCCGTCTTGTTGGGCTGATGGTGTACATTTCAATGAGAGAGTTTCAAACATAATGTCTAATCGAAGCCAAGGTGACATAAAAAAAACACTAACACGTATATACATAGAGGCTGAGAATCTGTGTGAAACATGCGGCCACACAAGAATAGATATGCACAAGGACGTTAACAAACATGAGAATGAGAAGAATCTGGCCTGCTTCCTTCGCAAAGAAAAATCGATCTGGTTTTTATGCTAACTTTATATCGCTGCTACTATAGTGCAACTACAAACACAGCTGTGTGGAATCTATCTAAAAAGTTTTTTTATTTTCTTAAAACATGCATCACTCATGTTGAACACCTACCACTGGAGAGATTCAGGGCTACACAGTTGTATGTGGACATTTAACGGTACGGTCAGCGGTTCAAACCCCCCCTCACCTTGCAGAGGGAACTGAGGTCGAAGCCGTACGACTGGGCGTTTCGAGAGCCGGCGTTCATGTAATTGCCCAGCAGCAGCACCAGCTCCAGCAAGCGGCCGAAGGAACGGCTCTTCCTGACCTCATCGCAAGCGGCGTTTACAGCCAGGATGTCTGGACGCAGGTTGTTCACCTGCTCCTCGAACTGCAGCCGGAAGAGGATGTGGCTGAGGCGAGGACGCAGCCGCTTCACACTGCTCATCTGGAAGAAGGGAACAGAGATATGGGGGAGGGGGGGGGGGGGAGTGATGTGAAAAAGAGCATTGAAAAAAGCCGTAGAGGAACAAAGCCAGAGTAAAGAAACTTATGTCACAGAACATAGTCAAACTTAAAATAACTACAATCACACTTTTGGCACAGTCTCACGTTCAGCCGATCTAATTTAAAGGACATTTATGCAACCGGCATGCTGGAAAGTGTTGCTAGGCAGTAGTAATAGATGCTGGCACTGATTTGATTTGGGACCCTGGTCCGGTAAGTTAATTGTGGAGTTAGTGTCCATATAGGGCAGGAGGCGGAGGGGGTGGAATATACAATAGGCTGCCTTGGATTACCACTCTCACACAATTAGAGGAAATTGGAAAATATTGCATTGGGCCCAGGGCCTGGCCACAACAGTGATTGTGTATGTGTGCGGGGCAGTGGGGAGGGGCGCAGGTTCCAATTGTCTGTTTCACACAACAGCTGGCTATGCGGTTTGATGTCCTCCATCAAGGGTTTAATTATAGCTACTGTAATGTTATCAAATGACTATTTCAGTCGGTGAGCGAGAGAGCCTGCATGTGTGTGTGTGTTTGTATGAGAGGAAAGGAAAGAGAGGAAGCGCGAAGAATAGGACAAAATTAAGAAGTAGCGAGGTTTTTAGGAACCATGGTGCTGAAATGGAGCCCAGAGATGGGATAAATTATGTGATATGGACATTGTAGGAGATAGAAAATAATCAGAGGAAGAAGGAAGAAGGAAGAAAGCTAGAGAGGGTCTTCAGAGGGAATGTGTTCAGCTGTTGTGTTGATAATGCTGCCTTCAGCAGTCCAATGGAAACGGGGGGGGGGGGGGGCTCTAACATAACAAAAATGTACTATATAGAAGAAGCTACAGAATATACAGAACGTCTGGTGCATTGCAGAGTCAGAATACAATGAGGCGGTAGGATGCTGAGGAGGAACAGACAGTCCTGTTGATAAACTGCAGAGTTATCTCATGCTATCAAGAGTGTGGAAAGTGAAATTATGCACCGAAGAGACGGAAAAACAAATTAATGTGTTTAAATATTTGGGCAACTTGAAAAGCATGTCTCTGTGGCACGTCAAAACAATTTCAAACCTAGATGAAAGACTTTAATTCAAAGTCGTGCCACTCACAAGGTCTGTGACGACAGTTGAGCCAGCAGGATGCGCGCGCTGTTAAACAGTGTGATTCCTTCGATTTTAGGGATTGAAATGAAGTTCATAAGTCATCAAACCATAACTGACATGCAGCAATAACAGCTACTGTAATGCATAAAGTTGACTAGTGTGAAATAGATTAGGATATGCTTTAATCACATGAGGATGCATGGTTATAAAATTGCTTTTTGACTTCACACAGAAATCTTCACGAAGAAAACATTTAACTTAGTCATTTGCCAAAGCAGCTGCACAAAACGGCGACTACATTTGCCTCCAGTGGAAGAACTGCAGGAACGTCAACAACGCAATCAGATCTATTCCTACTAAACACTACTATGCTCAACGGAAAGTTGAAATCCAGCATGAGCGTGGCGAACGACTGATAAAATGCATGTGTTTGCACAATGGTAAATTAAAAATTCCCTTTGAACCTGAGCTTTTCTGATAGGTGAAAGCACACAGGCCTCCTTGGGCCCACGCAGGCACAGAAGCGAAACACTATTATATAAACAGGCTCTTCTTTGTTCTATGTCTCCCTGATGAACCGTACACAACAGCTGAGCACGCTCTAATTTTCACCCCCCCTCCCAATCAACCGCTCAGTCCCTACATTTTCAGTCAGTGATAAGATTCCCTTTCATGGGTGTTTACAAAACAGGTGGGTGCACTGGGCAAAAAGAAGAGGCTTAATCTATGTTTTGTCAGTAACTTGGTCGCTAGGCAGAAACTACAAAATACACAAACAGCTCGACACTCCTCATGAATAATTCGGAATAAACCTCCTTTGAAAAGTCTTTAAGAAACCGATGCAGACATAATTAGACAGCAGTGCTGCTCTTTAATGTGCATAAATTAGTGCCGAAGTCTACAGGTGTCCTGTCGTTCCTCTTTGGGCATAAAAAAATAGAATTTTAAAGAGCCCAGGATTAAGGATATTCATAAGAAAGTGCTCCGTTTGTGTGCGCGTGTTCGTAGGAAAGAGAAAGAAAGGGAGAGATGTGACGCAAATACAAGACAATTTACATTTCTATGTTATTAATACAGTAATAAACCAATTTTATAAAACGGTGGATGCATAACTATGATCTGCTAAACCACTTAATTCATAGTACACTGACTTTCAACTTAATGGACAGATACAAGATTAACATCAGAGGTCCCCGAACAACAAAGAAACTACAACATGAAGAAGGGACATACATTTACATATTGTTGGTGCTATGACCATCTGGTGGAGAGTTGACACTTTCATATATATATGTGTGTGTGTGTGTGTGTGTGTGTGTGTGTGTGTGTG